AAATGATTTAGGAACGTTTTCAGAGAAACTTCTTCAGCCTTTAAGAAGAACATTCTGGGAACTGATAGAAAACCTCCTGATGAAAACATCTGTAGAAGAGTTTTGGAACAACCACTCCTGCCTGAGGAGATAAAACCACCTGGTTTCAGGTAAATCCGACCCTAAACACCTTTTTTCACTCTTCTCTAACCTGTTCTGTCCTCCAGAAGCCCGACACCAGACGTCCTTCAGAGGTTTGAATGAAAACAACCTAATCGTCTGCGTACATGAAAACATTTGGCGACGACGTCTGAGCTCTGGTCCAGGTGTTGCTGCTGGCTCAGGTAACATGAGGGTGAACAGCAGCCGTCACACCCAGCAGTCCCTCTGACGTCACTGTTTCAGCTCAGGACCAACTTCCTCATGAAACCGAAGCCAGACTCTGGCTTTGAATGAGCGACCTCAGACAGTTTCCAAAGCAGCAGAACTCATCACATGTCGACTCGAAGCTTCTTACCTCCGTGTCGGTGACACAACCTGCTCCTCCTGCTTCTTCCTCCGGTATCGGTGGTTTCCGGGAGTCTGCAGCCCTGTAATCACAATAATTAACACAAATGTTCTCATTATCGCTAATATCTGCTCAGGCCATCAGGGCTTATCAGAGCAAATGGAAAAACATCAGGAGGACTTTTAACCAGTTAGTGTCTCAGGTTCAGGCTGAGTCCGGCCGGACTCGTGTTTCTAAGCTCTACAGGATCCACTGGTGCTTCAGAAGAATTTCATGGAAACAACAGAACAGCCCTCATGTAGCTCATGTTGTTCATCCCGTAAGGTGATTTAAGGTGAAATTAAAAACTTTGGCAACAGTAGAAACAGAAAAATACACAAAACAACCACAAAATAACACAAAATTACTACAAACCTAACATGACTACTGATGCAAAACCACTACAAAGACACGCAATCAACCACAAAATGAGTGTACAATAAACACAAAATGCTCACGAACCTACAACGACCACAGAGATGCAAAACAACCGCAGAGAGACACACAATGCCCACAAAGTGACTACAAAGAGATCCAGACTCTGATGCTCGTTTCAGTTTGTTTCTGAGCTGCAAGTCGTATACAGAGTCTATATGGAATCCATATGGAGTCCATCGGAGTCTATACGCTGTCTATACGGAGTCTACATAGACTCTATACAGAGTCTATACGGAGTCTATCCAGAGTCCTATACGGAGTCCTATATGGAGTCTACACGGAGTCAGAGTCTATATCGAGTCTATACGGAGTCCTATACAGAGTCTATACGGAGTTTACACGGAGTCTATACAGAGTCTATACGGATCTATACGTAGTCTCTGGAGTCTATACGTAGTCTATATGGAGTCCTATACAGAGTCTATACAGAGTCTATACGGAGTCTATATGGATCTATACGGAGTCTATATGGATCTATACGTAGTCTATATGGAGTCTATACGGTGTCCTATACGGAGTCTATACGGAGTCTATACGGAGTCAGGCATGGAGCCATATTCGGAGTCACATCCAGAGTCTTATACAGAGTTGCTGGCGACGGCAGCAGCAGCAGTAGCGACCAGAGTGACTCAGCAGTCCTGCGGCTGAGCTCCAGCTCCGGTTGTTCCTTCTGCTCCGTTAACATGACGAGTCTGAGCACTAAAACCGGCCGCTGAGCTTTAACGGCACCTTTAAAGGGGACATTTAACGGCTCTCACTCGGTTTTAACCTCTTTTTGCCGACGGGAGGGAACGAGCTGCCGGAGCGACGGAACCTCGACAGAGTTTCCTCCAGAGTCCGACTCCCCGATAACGAACCGGCCTGAAGTCCTGAAAAGACTCAGTAAGGAAATCTGGAAACAAACCCAAATGTCCATAAAAGTCCAACTTTACTGTCATGTAGCCTGGAACAGCAGCAGAGGTTCAGTCTGTCTGGAGGATTAGTCCCTCGGCTTCATTTATTCCAACTAATCAATTAATCAAAGCAGCTCCAAACCCTGACAGTGTGGAGGATCAGATCTTCAATCAATTAAATCAAATGAAAACTGACGATTCACTCCTAAAATAAAGTGACTTTTGTAGATTTGCAGAAACACGTCACTAAATATAGATTATTTCTGCATCTTAACTCCTTTAAATGTGTTTTATTTCCCGTCAGGATGATTAATCGATCAGTTCTAATCTGAAATCAGCCACATTTCATCTGTCCTTATCAATACGACTACTGATGAATAATCTGCTGTATAGACGTCTCTGTGGTTCCTTCACCTCTCCTGAACTCTAGTTTTCAATCATTAACCGAAGCGGAGCTGCATTTCCGTGAGCGTTGTGGTTTTACAGCGTTTATGATCATTGAAGGGATTGTGTGAAGCTGCTCTTCACTCTGCAGGTTTGGTTCATGTGTGGTTCAGAAACACCTTCATGCTCATTTTGTGTTTCTCATTCAGAAGTTTTTGTCTTTTTGTGCCATTTTTTTCCTGTTTTTGTCTTTTTTTTGGTGGTTTTTGTCCGTTTTGCACCCATTCGTGTTCATTTTGTCATTTATTTATGTGCCTATTTTTTCTCATTTTTGTGTCTCTGTGGTTGTTTTGTACTCATTTGTGCTCATTTGGTCTCACATGAATTTATTTTTCGTCTCTTCATGACATTCTTTTTTCATTTTAGAATCTTTTTTTTGTGTTTTTTTTGTCTCTTTCTTGTCATTTTGCACCAGTTTGTGCACATTTTTCCTCCTTTTGAAGCTACAAACTGCACTGTGGCTCCAGCTCTCCACTGGATCCAGACCTGGACCGATCCCGTCTCCACGTCGGGGATAATTTATCATAATTCCTATTAATGAGTGAAGCTGCTGCTGTATCACCGACACGCCGCCGTCCTGCTCTGGAGACGCCGACGTGGAAGCTGCAGACGTTTAATAATTCAGAGGAGAGACTCTCTTTGTGTTTTCAGACGATTATTGGTGCTGAAATGTGGAAACCAGCTTCCCCTCAAGCAGCTTTTCTCTTTTAATGCAGCTGTGCAGTTAAGACTCGTGTTGACAGAGAGACGTGACTCGGTCCGACTCGGTCCGACTCGGTCCGAGTCACGCTGACCTGTACAGAGACGTGACAGTAAAGCAGCTGCAGGACTGAACTGGATGACGGACCTGAACTTTGTGCTGGTTTGTGGGAGGATGAAGAACATCTACAAGGTTTTCAGAAGCAGAAAACACAATGAAAGTGGATTTTCACCACCAATAGGAGCTTCAGCAGCTCAGTGAAGCAGCTTTCTAGAAAAGGCTCAAGATCTTGACTTTTACGGAAAGACATGAAGCGAAGATGCTCAGAGGGGACTTCCACCGATAACTCCACATCTGAACTGGACCACTGTTGGTTCTTTTGTTCCGACATAGAAACTTAGGAGGCTTACAGTTTGACATCTTCAAGGTTTTAAGCCACAGAAAAGCCAATAAAAGTGGATTTTGCCCATAAATGGGACCCTTAGCAGCTCAATGAAGCAGCTCTGTTTCATATTTCAAGTCTTAGAATCGCTCCAGATCTTGACTTTTACAAAAAAACAAACAGATTCTCGTCGACTCGCTCAGAAGTCCACAGATTCTCCATAAGGATCATGTCTTCTACATATACAAACGATGACACAGCTCAGTTCCTACTTAGAACTTTTACTGGTTTGTGAAGTGAGGAGTCTTGAAGTTTGGCACTTACAAGGTTTCAAGACAGAAAAAACCAACAAAAGTGGATTTCCACCATAAACGGGACCTTCAGGACTTTGTTGAAGCAGCTTTGTTGCATAATTCAAGTCCTAAAGTCGCTCCAGATCTTGACTCCTACAGAAAGCCGAGCAGATGTTCAGGACTCGGTGTGAGAACGGAGAACATCCGGGGCTTCACTTTGAGCCTCATCTTCTTCCAGTTCAGTGTGAACCAAGTGTGGGGGGGAGAGCCTCCTTACCCTCCTCCCACCTCCCTCCTCCTCCTCCTCCTCCTCCCCCCTTGATGCTTTGCCCCCATTGTTCTCGGCCTTCACAGCTCCCAGACAATGCCTGAATGGAGGCTCCACCGGCGGGGAGAAGCCGAAGCTCCGGAGCAGCTTCCTTTGTCCCCAGAGTCACTTTAATCAGGCGGCGGCTTCTCAAAAAAAGACTTTTTTAATATAAAAAAATATTAATAATTTGGCATAAAAAATTGAGGGGGGGGGGGGGGGCAGGGGGAGGGGCGGGGCTGCCAACGGGTTGCTAGGGGCAACCATAGGGGAGCGAGATAGAGGGCGTCCCGTGCGTGTGCCTGCCTGCCTTGCGTGCGTGCGTGAGTGCGTGCGTGCGTCCGTGTGCCAAGCCGCTCGACCCCTCGCGCCAATTCCGTCTATTGGTTGATCGGGAGAGAGAGAGAGGAGACGCTGGTGGAGAGAGATCCGCGCACACCGAGCAGAGAGGATGGCTGGCAGGATTTAGCCCCGGCAGCGTCTTCCCCGTCCAGCACAACAAGCTTATTACCGAGCTGTCCGGCGCGCCTGGGAACGGATTTACGCGCACGAACAAGGAGGTTTGTTTGGCTCATTTATCACTATTATTATTGTTTTTGTTATTATTGTTATTACGTTATTGTGATATCACCGTTATCGTGCTGCGTTCACGCCGCTGCTCGCGTCCACACTTTTTGTCCTCACCTTTACGCGTAAGAAGGCTACAGGTTTAATGGCGATTAGCTGGCGGGTAATTAGCCCCGTTAACGGGAACCTGCTGCAGGTTCCGGTGAGGAGAGCGAGTGTGTGTGTGTGTGCTTGTGTGTGTGTGTGTGTGTTTTTGTCTCGGTTGGAGGGTCTCCGGTGTGAGAGCGGCGGCGGCGGCGGCGGCGGCGGATGGGGACAATGAGCGGAGCTGTTGTTTGGCGGCGGCGGTGCGCGCAAAAATCCCCCCGTTGGTCCGGCTGCTGCTGCTGCTGCTGCTGCTGCTGCTGGAGGTTCTGGAGACGCGGTTGGAGGAGAAATATTGCGGATCAATCAGTCTGGCTGGTGTCTGGCTCCTCGCACATTCACGCGTGGCTGCTGGGAGCTTCCTGCAGCGCTGCTTTCTGCCGCTTTTTATTTATTTTATCGCATTTACGGGGCGTTTTTTCTTCCCCCCTCATCATCATCATCTATCCATGCAACCGTTAAATCTGCATCTGACATGTGTGTGCTCATGCGTGCGTGCGTGCAAACGTGTGAGTGGAAAAATGCGCACGAAGGAGAAGAAGAAGAAGTGCAACAATAATAAGAATTTAAAAATAATAATATGAAATAAAACATGGAGATTTTGACACAATGCGCGCAATGGATGGAGCCAGACTGGATGGAGAGGGGGGAGGCAGGGGGGAGGAGGAGGAGGAGAGGGGGGGAGGAGGGTCGAGCCATTTTCGTGCACAAAAAAAAACAAAAAAATAAAAACGCACGCACATGGCGACAGACAGACAAGGAGCGCGGCGGCGGACTGCGCGCCAGGCGGACATGTGCGCAGCGCAGAAGCAGGTCAGCGGCCACAAACCCGCGTTCACGCTCAAATCAGCGCCTTTTCTCTCCACCTTCTGATAATATTGATCAAATATCGTCCGTCAGGGGGCTCTGGGGGACGCGGCCCGCCTCCCCTCCTCCTCCCCCCTCCACCACCACAATAGACAAGGGAGCCGCTTGTTGGGAATTTGGCGCTTCACTTGTTTTGCTCAATGAGGAATTCAGTGTTTCTGCTCCTTCTGTTGTTGTTGTTGTTGTTGTTGTTGTTGTGGCTCCACGAAGCTGCTGCTCTTTTATTTACCCACGATTAATCGATCAGTCGGCTCCTCCATTGTTCACTAAACACTCCACAAACATGTTGTTGTTTTTGTGTCGCTGCAGTGAGTTTAAAGCGGATTATTTATGCTCCTATTTTATCTTTATTTTTATTTTTATTTTGATATTACTGCAGCACAACAACAAAGTGCCAACGCGGGATTTATTGGGGATATTTTTAGAAATTTTCTGGGGTTTTTTTCTGCTGTGTTTGTGTTCAGGAAAGCAGCAGCTCCGGATAAAAACATGTCGCCATATTAGGAGCTTTTTTTTTTTTGCCCCCCAAAATGGAGGGGGAGGAGGGGGGAGGCGGGGGGGGAGGCAGCTCATTAGCAATGCAAATTAGTTTTTTTTTTTTATTCAAACGGAGGCTCGGGCACCTGCTGTCGCGAGCATGCGCGCGGCTGGACGGTTTCCTCCCCCCTCCCCTCCCCTTTCCTTCCTTGAGGCTCGGGAGCGCGCCTCCTCCTCCTCCCCCCTCCTCCTCATTAGACTTCTGTTCTATTTCCAGGCGCGCTCCCGCCGCTGGAGCTTTGATGAATAAAAAAAAAAAATGAAATAAGAAGCAGCAGAAGAAGGAAATGTCCTCCAGCTCTGAGCAAAACAAAAGAGCAAGAAGGAGATGAATGACGATAAAAAGAGTGAAAGAAAAGACGGAAAGAATCTAAAATATAAACTTTAACCTGCTTGTTTGGCGTCAACACGCTGGATTATAAGAAATAAACGTTTATTTTCCGTTTAAATTGGATCTAAAGCACATTCGAGGCCGTTTCAAACAAACAGTTTCATGAGTTTTTATTTTTTTTAATTTCCCCAAAACACGATTTTGACTCGATAGAATGTGAAACAGACGATAAAACGTGAAATATTTCATTGTTCGGACGAATATCGAAGCTGTTCTGGTCGCCTTTGTCAAGAAAAGACAGAAAGAATTTAAAGAATATAAAGTTTAACCTCCATGTTGGGCATCAACACACTTTATAATAATAAATAAACTCTTCTTTAATGTTGAAATCGGATTTTAAAGCAGATTTGAGGCCATTTAAACAACCAATTTAATAAAGAAGTGACTTTTTATTCAATAAATTCCCCTAAAACATCATTTTAAGCTGATAAAGTGTGGACCAGACGTCCCTCTGCTCTCTGTCTGTTACGTAACTGGACTCAAACATCAGTATTTTCTCTGTTTCTTGATCTTTAAGTGACTTTTCAGCCTCGGTGCAGCTAATTTAACGTATAAAACATCAAATATTAAACTGTCTGGATGAAAACAAAGATATTCTGGTCGCCTGCTTCAAGAAAATGTCAACTTTAACCTCCTTATTTAGCATTTACACTCTATAAAATATGAAATGAATGCTTTCTAATACGTTAAAATAAGGTTAAACGCTCATTTTAACTGTTCTGATGCTCCCTGTGAGGACATGAATGTGCTGAACTCACTTCCATCTGGTCTGTTAGACGTGTTTTCTGTCTGTATGTTCATGTTTTCTGGGTTTCTTGGTCTTTAAATCACATTTTTAGTCTAAAAACAGGTGCATTTGTCTTTGCGTGACCAATTTAACGTATAAAACATGAAGCATTTCATTGTTTGGATCAATAATAATGATGTTCTGTCGCCTCGTTCAACAAAACAAAGAACTAATTCACAAATATGGCATGTAACCTGCTTATTCACATCATATAATGAGAAATAAATGTTTATAAGCCACTAAAACTGAGATATAAAAAACATTAAAGGTCATTTTTAACAACTCCAACTCATTTTATTCACATACTTGGACAAATTGGGTCACATTCTTTAAATTTTTAGTCTTTAAAGAACTTTTTTTGGTTAAAGAATGAGGTTCTGTTGTCTCCATACAGCCAGTTTAAAGCATAAAACGTGACCTTTTTTTATTGTTTAGATCAAAAGCAAACACGTTTTAGTCGCCTACGGAGGAAATAGAAAGAAGAATGTGAAGTTTAACCTGATTATTTAGCTTTTACACACGATTATGATGATAAATTAATGTTTAAGATGCATTAAAATAGAATTAAAAGGCAGATTAGCCGCTCTGTAGGAACACAAACTGCATTTCTTCTTCTTTTAAAAGACTTTTTAATCAATAAAAGAGAAATAGTCGTATTTAATTGGCTAGTTTGACATATTTAAGACGTTATAGTCGCCTTCTTTACAAGCGCAGACGCAGAGTTGTCACAAAAAACCAAGAAAGAAAGAAAAAGAGTCAGAAATATGAAATTTAACCGATTTTATTTATCAGTTATATACGATATGATAATAATAAATAAATGTATAGAACGCATTAAAACTGGGTTATAAAGCAGCTTTAAGGTCATTTTAACAACTAACTCATGTTATAAAGACACATTTCACTGTTAGAGGTTTTACATCCATGTTTTAGGTTCAATCAATACCAATATTGATTACCAGTAATCAATAACTGATATCTGTCACCGATAAATGAATAAAAATCTTTTAAATTTAGAAACTGCGTCATTTTAAATTTGCTTCATGCCTTTATAATTTACTAAATTATGTTTAGTTAAAAGAGAAGTTTTTAAATTTCACCCCTCGGTGCTGATTGGCTGTCGATCGAGACGATTAACCAATCAGATTGAGCCGTTTATTTATCATAAATCTGTTTTAAAAGTCACAATATTGATCATCACAAACGTCAGATGTGACAACGGTTCGACCTCTGAAGGTTTACAGCGACATTAATGTCAAACATAAACTAATTATTACGTTTTTAATTCCTTATAAACGTTGAATTGTGGCGTAAAATCAACAAAAAGTAGAATTTTTAAAATCATTTAATCGATTAGTCGTCAACTGTTAAAACAAACTGCAGATATTTAGATTATTTGTGGGAAAAAAAGTCTAAATTCTCTGATCTCAGCTTCATAAATGTGAATATTTTCTGTTTTTTTCCTCTGAGACACTGAAGTGAACATTTTAGGACAAAACGAGAATCGAAGACGTCGAATTAATCGATTAATCGAGGAAATAAACTCAAAGCAGCTGCATTCTGATGTGTGATTGGGTCGAGCTTTAATAAACGTGGATAATAAATGAATCTAATCCTGTAAACGTCGCTCACACAGCGGGTTTATGGGTAAATATTAAATCTGTTATGGCTGTAAAATGTGGAAAAGTGCAGAATTAAAGTGCATAAAACCAAATAAAATACAAAAACTTAACTGGAAGTACGTCGAAGCTGCATTTAGATTAAATCTACTTCACTGAATTCCACCAGAGGCTCATGATGACTCCTTAAATTAACGAGATACCTGATAAACTGAACAGCAGTGATGCAATTAACCCCGAAACATGAGAATTCTCCCTCAGTAGGACATTTTTAGCCAAAATACCAAAAAAAAAACAAAATTTGGTCGTTTTCGTGATGCCAAAAAACACGTTTTGTGACCTTTAGCTTTAACAAATGGACTTAATAAAGAATCGCTGCTTCGTCGCGCCTCAGAGATAAATAAAGAGGAATTAACCGAGGACGGCGGCGAGGAGGAGGAGTGATGAAGGACGGGTGATGAATCTGAAGCCGAGCAGGAGGATGAATTAAAGAGAAGGAAGAGCGATGAAGGGAAACGAAGACGCCAGAGGGGCGAGACGAGGAAGAAAAAACAGGAGCTGGAGTGGAAAAGTAAAAGAGAATAAATGGAAATAGAAAGAATGAAGGTGAAGATGGAAAGATATGATGTAAAAAAAACGACACAAGAA